TTATTGAAACCTTTCCAAAGGTTTAATGTAGTAAAATTACTTCAGTATCTTATACATCAATATCAATATTTATGTAAATATTGATATTAAATATCTGTACCCACAGTCATATTCATTAAACCACTTTCATCCATGCTGTTGTTATTTGTGAGATTTGAAGGGTATATATCATATAGTAGATTAATAAGATCATTATGCATGTAAAAATTTAAAGGTGAATATGCAAAGGTTTAATTATGTGAATGAATTTAATGATAATGTAACGTAATGAATGGTAAATATAAGGGATTAATAATAATAATAATATGGACTTTCTGCATCTCTTAGAAGTAGTATAGATTCCTCTGGGTTACATATTAGTGCTTTGTTCTGAAGTTAGAATTGACAGTGTTTTATCCTTTCAGTCTTCATTTTATTTTCCCAAATAGTTCAGTCTTGATTAACAGGCCAGTTTACATAATAAAAATAACAGACTGGCCCTAAGTCTTTACTATCAACTGCAGGACTAGGTTCTTTTCATGCGTTTTGTCATTTAATCTATCCAACAACCTTCCTGTTGTACATAATTATGGATGACGAAACTGACCATTATAAAATTTAAATATCTTATCCAAAGCTACAATGTTTGATGGCAAAGTCACAGTTTGAACCTGTGGTGGCCAGCTCTGAATTCCATACTTTTACCCATCTTCAGTTATTCAGTTGCTACTTATATACCAGAAAATGCTATATTTTTGTTGCCATATAACAGACACTTGGCTAGAAGTATGGTTCTGGTCATTAGCATTTTTAAAATACATTGGATAGCAAAGGGAGAGGGGAACTGGAAAACTGCCACCAGCACACAGTGGGGAGTCAGCATCACCACGAAAGCCAAGATGAAGGAATTTTAAGACATTCCAAGCAAGTATGTCATGATAGTGATGGAAATCACATTAACTTGGATTAATTAGGCAAAGTCTAGGTAAATTATGAAAGCTCTATTAGATCATCTTATCCTAGATGATCTCTTATTTCCGTATGTTAGTGATGCATTCCCTAGCAAATATATTGGGAAAGAAATGTAGTTTTAAACAAGTAAAATTAACACATAAGTTGTATAGAGCTTTATATTATATATGTAAATGATTTCATTACAGTATTTAATCTCAAAGGCACCTCAGAGATGTCAACCTTAATCTAAATAGCACTATTAAAAGTTCATTACTTAATTTAGTCATCAGATGTTCCTCTCAGTGATTCTGAAGTAGTCTTTAGTTTACCTCTCACTGATAGCACCGTTCAGCAGCACAGTGCTCTAGAAATCCTCATTTCTGTATTTGATAGAGACAGTCCTTGGTTTCAGTATATTAGTCATATTTCAAATAATACAAATCTGAATTGATTTTATACTGTTTTATCTATAGAGGATCAAGTAAAATACAGATGGTTTTGTCAAGTTAATACAAATGATAGTAAACATGTACATGTATTCTAAACATTAGGTTGAGCTTGAAGCAACTAAAATTTATCTTATAGCAAAAAATAAGAAAAATCCCCAAAAGAAAGTAAACCAGGCTCCTGAGCTAACTTTGGAGGGTTTGAATATTACCTCTATGATGCATTACCTGTGTGATCTTCAGCAAGATTCTTAACCTCTCTTCTCAGTATTTTTAGTTTTACAAATGAAATGGTAGAATAATGTGGTCACCATCTGTAATTTTATGAGGATTAAATAAGCTAAAATGCTTAGCTATTTACCAGTAGAATATATAGTTATAAAAATAAACATTAAAAATGTTAGCTAATAGACTTGATAGCAACCTCATGGTTTCTTTAGCCAAAAAATTAGCATATGCAAATCAAAATTATAAAATACTTCCATGTCAATAAAACCCATAAATGAACATTGTGTTCTGAAGCCTGTGCTAAGACCACACAAAGTTCTACTCCCCTGTAGTCTTCGTCACATTTTGCCGGTAAGTATTAATACTGCTTCCCAGGGGAGCAGAGTGTGTTGTCGTACAGTGATAGTGCCACTAGGGTTCCAGAGCAGGCCTTTCATACCATTGTCACCAGCATGCTGCTGAGTCTACCATTCCCATCTTAGGGAAGATCCTGGAACCTCTCCACAGCATCCATGCCTAAGAGGAACATGTTTACTCACAGCAGTAGTTCTTTCACATATAACGAAAATGGCTGAAATGAGCACAAATTCATTTGATGTTTAATTATATTAGATTTTCAAAACTTTGCTACTCATCTTTAACATTTATCTCACTTGTGTGTGTGTGCTTTATAGAGAATTTAGCATAATGATTTGCCCTTCCTAATTGATTATTTTTGTCGTCTTTTTCTTTTTTCTTTTGCTGTACTTGGGTTCATTCTGAAATGTGACACTTCATTTGGCCCTTTGTGCTGTATGTCAGCGTCTTCAACTTTATGGATACCATTCTCCTACTAATAGTGTATGTACAACACTTTAAATGTTCCTTATGTATATAGCCCTCACCTGTTGTATTAGATAATGTTATTTCTTCGTATAAAACAATATCTGCTATTTAAACTGTTTTGGAATTTGTTAATACAGTAGGATGTGATCAACCCAAAATTTCTTTTCTTGATTTATGAGACAAAAATATAGAAAGCAATTGTATATCTTTATTAGTTATATATCTGTAAATTAAAATAAATGTCAGTAAATAAGTACCACCAGAAATTTTTGTAGAGTAATTGAAATTTTATATTTTTCAACAATTTATGAAGCGTTATACAAAAATAATAGAGCAGATAGGCTCTCTTCCTGAAGAACACAGGTATTTTAAGAACTAAATTCAGACTTCAGTCAATGCCAATAAAAGCATGTTAATGAATAGACTTTTCAATTTTCAGTTTTCATCTTTTTCTGAAACTCTGTTGCCTGCCTACTTTCTCTGATCTATTAAAAGGATGTATAAGATGCTACTCGTTACATTACTACACAAAGATGATTATGAGTTTTGTTCTTTTGTTGTGAAAATTTCTATAAGTGCTCTTCTTAATTGTGACTTTTCTGTTCTCTTGAGAATAAACTTATTGGTTAGCCCAGCACATAAGAACTTGCCCAGAATAGACCTGACCTTTTCCTATAAACATATGCAGTTCATTTAATTTTCCCAGGTATCCTTCAAGCCTGTAAAGGATTCCTCAAACTATAGAAATTCTACCTGAAAGTCCTTAAATTCAGGGGCAAGTGTTTAAGGTGTCATGTACAATTCTAAAAGTGGGCATATGACCTTCTGTACTATTTAATTAGCTACTCTAAAATGTAAAAATACTTATTTGGATTTGAACAAATACTGGAGGCAGTTTTCAGCATCAAGTAAGCACAGGGTATCCTGCCTACTCATAAGGAACAACAGGGAATAATTGGAGAGCAAGGCAAATCTATGGGGCTCACATATCTGATTGTTTAAATTTGTCTAAGAAATGGAAACATTTTCTATAAAATGTACAGCTGCTTCCCAATAAGAGAATTTTTTAGTTAATTTTAGAAGTATTTCCCTGATAATCATTTAAAATTTTGTAAGAACTTATAAAATGAAAATCTTATATTGGAATATCATGTGTACGTTTAAACATATTGTTAATAATATTTATGACATTATGGTTTATTATCCATGTCATTGTATGAGCCACTTTTTAACCATGGCAGTTTCAGTGCTTCCTTTAATTTCATAAGTAGTTACCATATAGTTCAAACTGTACAGACTTTACAGTCTCAGGGGTTAAGAGATTATCAATAGCCAGATTTAAACAGTGTATATTTTATTTATATTATCCTTGATGAGGAAAACATATTATCTTTTTTTATTTTATTGGTTAGCACATTTTTCATTTTATTTTATTGAAGACAGCTTCTGTCCTCATGTGAAATGCATGTGAATGTGATGTAACTTCATGATCTTCTGATCTACATGGTCAAATGGATGACATAATTTAACTCTCTTAAGAACTGGTTTGATTTTACGAAATTTTTTCTATAGTAGAAGTCAGTAATTATTTTCCTGAAGTGCCTTCAGCAAGGAGGTGGGATCTGGACATGAAGACAGACACTCTGACCTCTCAAGTAGCCTGTTCCAAGATGAATTCTTCCTGTTTTCTTACCCTGCTGCAGTGAAAGACTGAGGCTATTCCCTTGTGTCTATGAATATAGCAGTTACTTCAGTAGCTCTTCTGCTCAAAACAGCCCAGATTCTTTCCATTTTTCTCATGTAGTCAAGTCTTGGTTATTTTTCCACTGTGATGAAAAAAGTACAATAAGAAAGTCAAAAGAATGAATAATTCAAATAACTCAAAGATCAAGAATGTTTGACTTCAGCATCCCCCATACAGTTTTTTAGAATATTGTTCTTAACTACCCTAATTACATTACTATCAGAAAATACGTCAATTTTTAATACCATTTCTCTGGTATTTCATCATATGTTGAACTGTGTTTTATGGGCTAAATGTTGATATTCATAAATGATCTCTATTTTAAAATAATGTGTCTTTTTTGGTTTATGATGCAGAGCTGTAATATATCTGTACATATATTTTAAAATATATGTATATTTTTAAAATATATATTACTATGCATGTTAATTGTGTGTTTGCAGTCTTCTCTGTCATTACTGGCAGTTTTGCCTGCTAGATCTGTCAAATATATAATATAAAATTATATATTAAACTAAATGTTACATTTATAGATTTATTGTCTACTCAAAATGTTCTTCATTTTTATTTTATCTATTCTGAGACATTATTACATGTGTAAAAATATAGATTAATTATGTCTTAGCCAAATCTCCAGTAGGTATTATACTAGATTTCTGGGTATATTTTGCCTTATACAACCTCTAGTTTAGTTATTAAGTATAGACTACCTTTTTAATTCATATTTTAGGTTTTTTAATCAGCATTTCCTGTAATGATAATGAAGCTTTTCTTGATTTTAAAAATGTATTTTAACTCAAACTTAATACAAATTAAAATGAATAATTATAAAATAGCTCAAGAGATACCATGACCACGAAGGTGGTTTTCCCAGGGCGAGGCTTATCCATTGCACTCCGGATGTGCTGACCCCTGCGATTTCCCCAAATGCGGGAAACTCGACTGCATAATTTGTGGTAGTGGGGGACTGCGTTCGCGCTCTCCCCTTTTAAAAAAAAAAATAGCTCAAGAAATATAATGTTGCTATGCTCCAGAATCCCCTTTATACTCTCTCCAGTCATAATTCTTCTCTGCCCCCCAAATGATCACTGTAACCGTGGATTATAGATAGATCTTTGCTTCGCTACCTGTGCATTCTGAAAACTATGCTTTAGTTTACTCATTTTGCACGTTGCATGAATGGAATCCTTGTAGGTAGTTCCAGCTCAGTCTCCTTTATTGCTGCAAGCATGGCTTTATTAGTTGTTCTGTCAAGAGAACGTGGTGGTTCATGGAGAAAGTAGCTAGTTGAACTTGTAACACAGACTGTCTTGCTGGGCAGTTCCAGCACCTGAGTATGCAGCAGAAGTGCCCCATGAATTCTTCCTGTATTGCTGCACCAGATACTGAAAATCTGTACTCAAAGGTTCCAGAAAGTGCCTTCTTAAGTGGAGTCTTCTTTTCTCCAGCTGTGAGTGTGTGGCACTGTAGAGCGTGATGACTTTGGTCTTTGATGACACAGTCTCTTCTCATTGTACAGAGTTACCAGGACTTCCATTTGTTGCTTTTGTACTATCAGTACAAGTACAAATACAAAACCAAAGGCAAACAGCATTTGTAAGACTCTGTAAGATGTGTCTATGTTAGATTTTGTCTGGTCTTTTCATTTATTCTCAGTGAGCAAGCTGGTGCTAATTACTGCTCTCTCATCAACAGTAGCCTGTTATACCTTTTTAACTTTGCTTTTCTCATTAACTGGGAAATTTTTAATGGTATATTTTGTGAATTACACTCATCTCTCTTCTCCTGGCTGGTAGCCTGTGCCTTTTAATTAAAAAATTCAGTTGATTTACATTAGTATGATTACTTTCTGATGTGGAATTTAGTTATCTTTCTCTGTAAATCATTCTTTTTTCCTTGCTTTACCTTGCTTTCTCTAGATTAACTGAAATTTATTTAAGTTTAGAAGATACTTATATTTCTGTGTTTGCCTTCTGAGTTTTTGATGAATATACCTAAACTAATAGTCTTAGGCAATGTCTTTATGCCCTTCCTTAGTTATAAGCTTAGGATACTTAACCATCTTTGATGTCTCTCAGCATAGTTAATTGGAATTCTTGTATAGTGTCTGCATTATTCTTTTTTCTAATATCTCAAATTAGATATTTTAAATACATACCATCAGTGTCTATGATAATTTTACTGTGTAGCTTGAACTGCCTTTTTGCTCTTGATTCTCCAGCCTCAGCCTCTCAAGTGCTGGGATGACAGGCTTATGCCACCACTCACGGCCATTGATGTTCATTTAGAATTACCTGCATATTTACCTTTCTTTATTCCATTTCTGTGTGGAGCTAAGATGGCTCCATTTGTAAAGTACCTGCATTCTGAGTTCTGATGCCCAGAGTCCACATCAAGGCCACGTAGGTGGGACTTATATGTAACCCCTGCACAAGGGACTGTGGGACAAGAATAGATGGGTCCCTGAAGCTCATGGCCAGCCAGTCTAAAAAACTGATGAACTCCAGGGACCGGGTCTTGTCTCAGAACATAAGGTGAGGAGTAAAGGAGGAAGGTAACTATTGTTGACGTCTGCCCTAAGCATACATACATTAATTCATGTATATTCCTGTGTACCCACCAGTCCACATGATCCATTTAACCTCACCCCTTTCTAAACCTTGTAGTCTAATAGTCATAAAATGCGTCCTCAAGAGCAAGTCCCTTTATAAATTCAAAAATAAAACGATGATTTAGCAATATAGCTCTGCCATTGAGCTTTAGCATGTCTAAGGCCCTGAGTTCAATGCACATCACAACCAAAAAGAAAAACAGTCATAACCTCTCTTTTAAAATGTCTTTATTCTAACTTAACATGTGATGATAAAATTTATACACTGGTTTTTGGCTTCTATAATTGAAATTAAAAAGGTCAACTCTGAATGTAATTATTTTTCTTTTGTAGGTAACCTGGGTCTCCTCCCAGCCCAGCTTTCCTCCCGCTTTTTATTGAATATAGATTTTTTTCTCATATAATACATCCTGATTTCAGTTTCCCCTCCCTCTACTTCTTCCAGTTCCTCCCTACGTCTCCTCATTTCCAGATTCACACCCTTTCTCTCTCTCATTAGAAAAAGTACAGCCTTTAAGGAATAATAGTAAAACATTATAAAATAAGATAAAACTAACACATCAGAATTGGACAAGAGAAACTAACAGAAGGATGTGTTAGTTTTGATAAGATCCTCTCTAGGGTGGAGTGTTTCAAGATCTCTCACTCTATCCATGATTTCTGCGTTGGGTCTCTGTGTTAGCTCCCATCTCCTGCAGGAGGAAGCTTCTCTGATGATGGTGGAGCAAAGCACTGATCTCAATGGGTACCGCAGAAGGTCATTTTAAGTCTTCTCTGTCTTTGTTTTCTGTAGTCTTGCTGCAGTGAGCCTCTGCCCTGCTTTTATCTGTGGTGAGATTTGTTGAGCTTCTAAAAGAGGAAATTATTTCCTCCCTTTTATTATTGAGAATTCACTGTCTTTACCTGCATGGTATTTCCCATCTTTCTCTGTTACTCCTTTCTGGAGCCTTCATGGACACTCGTCTTACATGTCTGTTAGCTTCTCTCTGAGAGTTTCACAGACCTGGAGAAAACTAGTCCAACACAACATTAAATTACAATTCCATGATTACTGGAGTACTTTTGTTGTTGTTTGCTTGCTTGCTTGGCACAAGTAACACAAAATGTAAAGAGAGTTTTGTTTTTGTTTGTGGGTTTAAGTATGTAAAGTATTTGTTTAGTTGTGGATGGCTTTCGGCAGTCATTATTCTGCTTATCACAGTGATAGCTCACTATCTCTAAGTCTTCTGAACTTCCTTTGACCTTCGACACTGCTCTTTCCTCCTTCTCTGCACTCCTTTCTTCCTTTCTCAGGTGTCAGTGACAAGATATTAGAGAATCACTTGAGTTGGACCCTGCTTTGACCGAAAAAAGAAAACAACTTAGAAATTCTCAAATCTGCAAAGTTTAAGAAGTTCCGTTAATACCTAGCCTCTGGGTTTTGACCAAAATATATAGATAGAGATAGATAAAGATATAGATATCAGTCAGACTTAGGAGGTAGAACATTTTGCCTGCTCCATCCTTTTTTGAAGTTCTTTTGAATAGTCCATGTATTCTTTTCTCTCTTTTAACGAAAGTCCACAGTTAACTTGTTCCACTGGTAAAGGGCTGAAAGCTGAGATAGCACAGTGAGACGTCTTCCAGAAGTCTGTACATGCTGCCTTCTGTTTATACACCCAAGCATCGGCGCTGTCTGTCTCATTACATCTTAGTGCCTGGCTACAGTTGTAATTTCCTGTCTTTCTTTAACCTGTATTCTGATATTGAATTTGCTCTACATTTCTTCCTTTTAAATTCTAGTTTGAGCTTCTTATTTACTTGAAGATAAGGGCTTTATTACAAAGCCCTACTTACATTTTTTTCTGCTATTAAATCTTCCTACTAGTTTTTCATGTTACAAAAGTTCACTCTTAATTTTATCATTAAAGTTATTCATTAAAAATTAAATACTAGCTTAAAACCAGACATATATGGGCATCAGTGAGGATGCCCAGCAGGAGGTGATCTAGCAACTATCTTTTAATTGCAATAATAATAGCTGTGAGAATATTGGATCTTCCCTCAGAAGCATTATATTTTAAAAGATGGTATAAGATAAAACAGAAAATATAGACAATCACAGCATTCTGGAAACTCATATTCTAGCATGATTTCAACTCTGGAGCTAAGTGAAGAATGAGAGAAAAGCTTTGAGGGGGGCTATATGTTGTCCTCTTTTTTAAATTGTTGCTGCCTTTTAAGCCACCACCACTACCAGTGTTGGTTAGGTCGCAAGGGCCATAGCTAGAGGGAATTCTGTTCCATCAGGCTCCAACTCTTTCTGAGTTACAAGGGAACTTAACTAAATCTCTGTACCTCTAAAAAAACCTCAAGATTCAGAGGTTAAGGTGGAATTCTGCTCTTCAGAGAGGCTGAATAGCAAGTAGCTCACCTCCTCTCCTTGCTCATGTCCTCCAAAAAGCCCTCATGATTCTCCTTGCCCCTCCTTAAAAATCCTTCTCCCCTGGCTCCTCCCTGTCACTTCCTGTCAGCTAGTTGCTGACTCAGCCTCCTGACTGCAGGTGAATTTTATTTAATCAAACACATCTTTGCTTCATTAAACAAATGTTCCAGAGCATAAACAAAAGTAATATACCTTAAAATACTATTCTATAACAGCTATAAAACTGTTATGTTTTAATATCTAAATTTTAAAGTAGTAAAGTACACAGACAAATATACATTTTAGTGTTTTTAACTGTAGGGAAGTTGAAAGGGGCAGAAAGTCTGATACTGAACCATGCAGGGTATTGCTCTAATTTCATAAATCTGGTTCTTTTCTATACACATAAAAACCTGCTAGCATGGATTCCCTAAGTTGTTTCTATTAGCTCTTATGATAGTGGCCAATAAGCCATATTTTCTAGTTTAGTGATTTTAATAAACCTTTTTTAAATTGTGTTTTAATGTTCTAAGTGACAGGTAAAATGCAAAAATGTTCAAAATAGGTCAATAAAATGAGAGTAAGTTGTTAATCTAGCATCTTTTGAGGTTATTTCTAGTTTGAGTAAGGGAAATGCACTGTGCTGCTTTTTTTAACCCAGTTTTCCCAGTGCAGTTTGTAACTGCTTATCGCCAGTTCAGTTAGAAAAAGCCGTAATGACAGATCCTTGTCCTGGGACCACACTGATACACAAGCATGTATGTCTGGTACCCATTTCCAGCTACACAATACTTTATTATCAGCAAATTATTAGCAGTGGACATGTTGTCTAGTTAATTATGAAGTATGAAGCTGGCTAAAATTAAAAAATACCTTTGAAATATTCCTAGTACATGCTATAGTTTTAATATTCCCTCCAGATTTCCTGTCTGTTTGCTTGAGACAGAATCTCACTATGTTAGTCCAATCAGAC